TGTCATAAAGAACCTACTAAGATAGAGTTCTCAAAGTATTTGACATATAACACTATAAAAATGAAATTGCACTCATTGTAAATGTGAGAATTTGATATTCCAATAGTCGAGAAATACCTAGAGCAAGTCTAGATAAAAGGAATTTCATATACCTTTAGAAACCTAATGTATGCTCAGATTTTGTATATGATTAACTATAATATAACATATGCTAGACAGATATCACAGTGATCCTGTTTTGGATCTATAGTGAGCGACAAAGAAATTTATAAAATATCTGCAAAGGATTAAGAACTATATGATTTATAATAAGACCGACAAGTTTGGAGTGGTAGAAAAATTGACTATGCTAGTTGTTAGGATACTACAAAATCCACTTTAAGTATTATTTTAATTTTATTATAATTTATGGAAGCGGAGTTTATTTGCATGTTATAAGGCCACGTTTTATGTATCATAAAATATCAGTTTTGGCCTTCAGGTTAATCGCTACAATCTTGTATTAAAGAAACAACAAGAGTTCAAGTTGGTCTAATATGACCGTTAATACCTTGTTGTGAAGTAGAAGATACAGAACCAGTTAGTATCTGATTGAACACATTAATACACAACAAAATATTGTTGATCCCATAACTAAGGGGTTGTTGCTAATGCTGTACAGTAAGCATGCATATTTCTCTTTAACAACTAATTTATTTAGTTAGTGGGAGGTTGTATTTGGCTCAGGTAAAAACAGTTTTATTTTATGATCACATTTATTATCCTCATTTACTAGATTTTTCATATTAGTGCACGTGTGTATGAAAAAATTACGACTTAAGTGTCCTGTTTTGAGACACACCAATTTGTGACTTAAGTGTCTTGTTTTGAGACACGCTGTGTTCTTATTGAGACACGGTAGGACTGATGCATGGAATGAATATTTTATTAAAATATTTTCACATGCGGTATATATGTGACTTTAGAGTTGAGTTTGTTAGTATCGGTGACCAATGGTGTCTTATATCATTAATGAAATAATGACACCCTTGATCCCATATTAATAGACTCAAAGGGACTCCAAAATTGAATTACAGAGGTGTTGTTTGTAAATGTACAAATTAATTTCTGGAGTGCACTTGTGATCATTTTGATCTTGAAGTGGTAAGAATTAATTATTGCTAGACTAAGTGGGAGAATGTAAGCAAAATAGTAGTATATCAATAATTAATTAAATATATTGTTTATATATGCATATAAGAGAAGTTGCACCCTTAGAATGAATAGTCACATATAAAGAGTTGTGTCGATTGATGGAACCAATACATCTCTTCACGTATAAATGAAAGGGTCCCAACCCTCACTATATATATGCGTAAAAGGCTCTGGAGTCCATCATCCAGCTTTGCAGGCATAGGAGAGGGTTGAAGATCGTTTCGACTGTAATTTTCTTTAAACTGAGTTTCTCTATTTGGTATGTCTTCTGTCAATTTATATATTTGGACTCATGAATTTATTTATGTTAGCATTTTCTTATAATTGTAAGTATATTGTAAGAGTGTCACTTCACCCTATTTTACGATTATGTTAGTGAGGTCCCGTGTAACTTTCCATTTGTAGTTGATGTTTTTCCTTTTCTTTTTTGTTTTCCTTGTTTTTAGTTACTTATCAACTCCGCCTTTGTCGAAGTTCTGCCATTATGTTCCAGCTACTTTTTGGAGTTGCACTTTGACAACCGCACAATTTCAATCTTTGAATTCGTGTTTCTGAGACTAAAAAAAATCGAAAGTTAAATTTAAACAGTTACGACTATGCATAGCTCAGCTATTCACTGTCGGTGATTCAAGTGAATTAAAAGAAGAAGATGTACAACAGTACAAGTGAAGGGGCCTTAATTACAAAAAGGACATGCAGATAAATGAGAGAAAACCAAGCTGAGCACAACCACAAAAAAGCAATAAAAATGGACAGTCTTAGTTCTACCTGAAAAGGAATATATGGATGAGGGTGGTGCTGTACAACTTTACCTTTCATAATATAGAGCTCAAAAAACATGTTCTCTAAAAACTTCTTCATAATGCGATCGAGAATAGCAATCAATAATTGTGTTTATATATATATATATATAAATGAGGTTGTTAATTTGATGTTGCAGTAGGAACTTCAGTTGCTAAATGTGAAACCATGAGTTGTGGTCTAATAGTAGTCACTCAATTTGTACGAATAATGACAAAGGTAGGTACACTCACTTTGTATGAGTAATGACAAATGTAGGTATTTGTGAATCTATTCCTCCCACTAGCCTCGGTTAATACAATAATGTCTTAATTATATATATCTATATATCTATATATATACACACACTACTACTCTCCAATTTTAAATGTCCATTTTAAGAAATGTTACTCACATTTTAATATAAGATGAAAGAAATATATTTTAAGTATATATACAAAAATAATTTCTTACTCATCGATAAATAAAATTTTATAATAATTGTTAAATGTGATTGGTATATATTTTTTTTTCAGTAACTACCTTTACGAGTCATTGTAATTGGTATGAATAAATGGTGAGATATCATTTAAAAAAAAAATTAATTACTAAAAAAAAAACATCACAATCCAACAAATTCAATCATCATTAAAAATCACTGAGCAGCGTAAGCCACACGATCAACCATGTGACCAAGCATAAAAGAAACTTTATATCTCAAAAGAAATGCTAACCTTCGTGTTGTCTCTATTAGTATCTCAAAAGAATCACTTGTCACTGTTATTATTATTGTAAATTTTATTTTTATTATTGTTATTAAAATTCAACAATCAATTGTGAGGACAAAGTTTGAACATGAATAATGACATTTATTATTATTATTATTAATTACTTGTGCATATTTCAGTCATAACTTGTCAAGGGATACCACAGTGAGTGAAGATCTTTTTTATTTGTTTATTATTATTAGAAAAATATATGAATCCATTATAGTATATTTGGTTTGACTTGATAAATCTATATATATATATATATCATTATAATTATTTATATATTTGCTATGATACCAATTGTAAGAGATGCCACTCAATTGAATGATGTGGATAGATGAGCAACTGGGGGGGTCCAAAGTGTATAGTGGACTTCTTCTTCATCATATGATTCATGTCAATGCTTCTTTAAGTACTCCCACTGCTACAAAAATTAATGGAAACTAAAAAAATGAAATGCCCACTTGGACTTTCTCATATGCAACATAAGAAAGCAAGAAAATAAATTAAATTGAATGTGTATCAAATTGTGATATAAAAGTATGGTTTATCGTATCAGTCGGTTCGTAATTTTTTTTAAATTTTTTTCGATATCATTACATATCTTCATGAATCGACCGATTCGGTCGGTTAACACCGATATTAGTCCAAATTCGTTACAGCGCGTTCGCGATTGATACCGCGACTACAATCATGTAGGAATGAAATCATATGGATCTACATTTTAGGAGTGTATATGGGTTGTTCTATTTTGTTCCATCATGATTTTGAGAGTGGGATTTTGGAAGTATTGTCTTCCCATGGGCTTTCTATGTTTCCCCTTTGCTGGCATTATGGTGGCCTACTAACTCATTTGGTTCACCTTATATATTCCTTTTATTATGATACTGATATAAATTTATATCATAAGCTCTTACCTACCAAAAGAAAAGGCCAAAAGAAATAAAGGTCTTGTTGACTATTGACATAAGTAATTGAAATATGGATATAAACATAGATCTATGACCTATATAATTAAATGTCTCATACTATATATGCTGTGGCAGACTAGTGTTTGGCTTTTCTTAATTTTCATGTTTAACTCAGTAGCTAATGTTCTTACAAACTTATAATTAGGCTTGTGGCGCTTTGTATAACTAGTTGTCGAGTGATTTATACAAACTGAAGTCATGCGGGATGGGATTGTATATCGGCAGTTGTGGATCATGAGATGTTCTAAAAGGTCTGACACTATATATATATATATATATATATTCTTCATGTAGATAGCTAGGGGCGGTTCAACCTCAAGGTAGTTAAGCCGCTTAAGACGAGAAATGCTTTAATGCACCTGTTATATTAATGACATAATATCACCAACTAATTAAATACTAACTCGTAGTGATAGGACCAACTAAATAAAGACACTTTTTTTTTATGTGACAAGATATAATCACCAATGATGTAGTATTATGGGTGCAGAGAAGTCTTTCTCGCCTAAGACCCGAAGGCCCCATAAAACTAGTCTCATTATTGTATTTAACTATATTTTTAATGTATTAATTATGTTTAAATTCTCTTACATGTGCACTTGCTTAACATTAAATTTCTTTTTAACTTAGGTAATTTATTGACTCTCACACTTCAATTGTCTACGCAATTAAAACACATCTCTAAAGCTAAGACATAAAAGGTGTCTCTGAAGCTGATTGCAGGTTAAGCATAGATTTATTAAAAAAAAAAAAAAAATGTTAGTGTGTCTATATATATATACACACACTAACATTTCAAATGCCTAAAATAAATCAAGTGTACTTATTATGTGTACTGTAGTCTAGTAAGTACCTCTCACATGGGGCTTAAGTAGTGTGCACTCATATTGCCATAAAAACATCACATGGAATACAGAAAGGATCATGTTTTTATATAACATATGGTGCATAAATTAGAGGAAACACTGCATCTCATACACTAAAAAAATCACATTGACACTTGTTCCTAGTAAATATATATTAAAACAGAGAAATTTAAATAAATTATATGATTTGGGGACTGATTGACTTGTCCTTACATACAATATAGAACTTCACAACAAGAGTTAAAAAAAAAATAAAAAAAATAAAAACTCATAGCCCAAGTTCATGATAAGGTGCTTATAAAAACATAATTAACATAAGACACACGTATATACATACATATATATATGTATATGTTTGGACCGGCAACGGGTCACCGGAGTTTATGAACTTAGCTCGAGTGTTTGGTTGTAAAGATAGATCATGAATGCTTATACCTTGGAAGAGAAATGATAGACTCTGAGACATCACAAGCCCTCTTGCAAGAAGTGGTCAAGCTCACGAATCCGAAACGGTCACTTAATGACCTAGTGACCTTGGAGGAGCCAATCCAAACATCATCAATGGTGTCGTGATCGTCCTTGGAACACTCCACTAATGCAGTGAAAAACGGATCCATCCTGAAGCTGTCACGAGAAGAGTATTTTTGTACACGCTTCGACTTTTTGGAGGAGGTTGAAGTAGTGTTTTTTGCGGGAGGGAGGGGGAGGAGAGCGACGGAGGAGTCCTTTTTCTCGGGAATCTGTTTCTTGGGAATTCCCGGTAGCCATTCCCAAGAAAACGGGATTCCCGAGAATCGGAGCGGCGTGCTTGGACACCACCGGGAATTACAGTCCCGGAAGGAGGAGGATGATCCTGATGATGAATTGGAGGAGAGTGATGGGGAGGAGGAGAAGGATGGCGTCCGGCGAGAGGACGGCCGGATTGGTGTCCAAAATGGCGGGCTGTCTGTCTGCAGGTTTGGATCATCAATTTGGGCAGTGACATTGAAGGCTTTAGTAGAAGCCATGAGTTTTTTTTTTTGTTTTTTTTGAGGAAGGGAGTGTTTCTTTTCAGATATTCTCTTTTCTTGTACTACTATCCATATATATGAATAGAGAGAGAGGGAGAGAAAAGTAAATGTACCCTCTCTTTGTAAGTGAAAAAAAAAAAATAATAATAATAATAATAAAAATCAGCTAACAAAACGACCCCCATGAGACTATTTGGGGGCATAATAGGAAGAGTGTGGTTGAAACTTGCAAGTATTAGTAAATTCAGCTACGTGGAGGTGACCGGGTATGGTATTCCACCCACTTGGGTCAAATCCTATTATTTGGCAACATATCTATATCTCCACTTACTCAAATGATAATTAAATAAATTAATTTTACAACCATCAAATTATTGTCCCATTTAGCTGGCTTTCTATAATTATATCTTAGACAGTGAAAGCATGAATATATATATATATATATATCACGAATATAAAAACACAAAACAACTCTTTGGAGGAACAAAAAGAAAGTATTAACTGAATTCGAGTATTCGTTTAACTATGTTTTTAATGGACAGTTCTAAAATAACGTTTAAGCAAATAAATAATAAAATCAATCATTTCTTTTTTTTTTAATTATTTTTTTTTATTTGAGGATTACCAGACCAAAGAGGTCCCTTATTCTTCAATATGTCCCTAGATAGTGGAGGAACACTAATTGGACTTTGAATTTTCCTTCTTTTTTTTTTTTTAATTTATTAATTTATTAATATTATATTTTTTGGGTCAAGTTATATGAGTATTATTGATGATGAAAAACAGTACAAACAAGGTTACTGCAAAGAGAGCCAAACAAGACACAATTTAGAGAGAAGGGTTACATAACCTAGGACTAAGCTGTATACATAGGGAATCAAGATGGACAACTTATTTTGTCACAAAATTAAATTTTCTTGACTAAAACGTTGTAATCCTTCACAGAGTAATTTTCCCTTCTCTTTTTCTGAGTGATGTTCAGTGCGTCTAGTACATTATGCACCGAACTAATCTAAATGCATCGGCATGTGTATATCACGAATGATTCAAATTAGTCTAGTGTACCAACCGCACTAAATATATATTTCCTTTTTTCCACCTTCATTTTTGCTGTCCAGAAATTGGTTTTCGCGGGAATATTAGGAATGGCACAAAAAGTTGCGATAAAAGTTCAATTATTTAGGAATGCCAATTTGGAGGGGGCAAACATTAACCCACAAAAAAAAAAAAAAAAAAAAAGCATTGGCATGATAAAGATATTAATTAGAAGATCCGTAGAAGGAAGATTTATTGGCACTCTACTAAGTTCTATACTTAATCAAGACGTGAAAATTACATGCATTTAATATGGTAGTGCTAAATAAAAAAAGAAAAAGAAAAAAAAAAGGATTCATTTTTATGTTATAAGAAAATAGCTTTCAAGTAGTTTTCATCTTAGTGAATGTGAAAATGGAGCATAATTAAATTTGAAAAAAGAATTGGATCAGATTTATTTTTTGTAATTTACGGTACTCTCTATTTGTGAGTTTTAGATAGAATGAAGGGGGAAAAAGAAAAAGATAGTAATTACTATCATTTGAGGAAAGAAAATAAATATTAGAATAAAAACTTAAAAAACATGAACACGAACATAATGTTGTTATTCTATATACGTAATTCATAAACTGATTAAATAAATCTCTATACTTTTTAATTCTAAAAAATTAATACCTTTTTAGCTATATTTGTACCTTGTTCAATACTTTCAAAGTCATTAGAATTTAAATATATGCATGACAATTTATGAAATTTGAATGACTTTTAGCTTTCTGGGATAGTATTGAAAATAAAGTAACAAATTTTTTTTGGGTGGAAGGAAAGAAAATTACTGGAAAAAAGAAGGAATGGATGGACGGAAAGGAATGACACATTTCGACAAATATATTTGTTTTTTCATCGTCCCTCCCATCCCTTTCCTCTCCTTTCCCCTGTGCCAAACAGTGGAAATATGTTCTATCCATTCCCTCCTGCCACATCAATCGCATAAATCATCTCTCTCTCACACACCCTATTGTTGAATAGAATGCAAATAAATTTGCCCGTGTCTGCGCTTTCATTGTTAATTTTCATTAGAATTGTTTGATGAAGATTGTAATTAATTTGAAGTCATTTCGTACCCTTTAATTCCTAATAACATGTCAAATTCATCAACCCATCTTTACGTGCTAGGTATTCTTCATTTTATAAATTGTCCACTACGAATACAGATATAATATGACAATATAGAATAGGAGTGCAGCAAGATATGATAATTTTTAAAATATATATTTACATAGAAAAATACATTTTTTTAATCAATTTTTTTTTGTAATATTATGAATTTAAATGTAATAATTAACATACTCATAAATAAAGCAAGTAAATAAAACAAAAGGTTTCGCATTAAATATTAAAGAAACTTAAAACCTTTCACCATTTATTACAAGAGAACCCAAAAATAAAAAATAAAAAAAAAACCGACACTAAGTTGCATCTGTTTTAAAAAAGAGTCAAGTGAAACAAAACACTCCTAAAATATGCTTATTGTGCATATCATACCCTTCTTCTGCACAAAAAAAAAAAAAAAAAAAAAAAAAAAAAAGAAACACCTAAAGTTTCAATTTAGTGCAAATAGGTACCTGACAAATTTAAACCCTAAGCTGACTAAATTACCTTTATTGAACCATTTTATAAAATATATAAAAATAAATAATTTTGTAAAATAACCGAAAATGACAGCCTCTCATGTGCAAGAAATACTCTTAAAGTTTTAATTTGATACAAATAGGTCATTTTGATAAATTTAAATCCTAAGTTGACTAAATTACCTTTACTGAATCATTTTATAAAATATATAAAAATAAATAAATTTGTAAAGTGATTGAAAAAGACACTATTGGAGGATGCCGACAATAAACAAGTAAAGATAAAAATAAAAAATAAAAAATAAAAAACGAAAATAAAGTGCAAAATAAAGAAACAAATCTGCTCCAAATTTCGAAAATCAGTGCAATATTGTTATTATTATTATTTTTTAATAGTGTTGGTACGAAAAATAAAGAAAAAAATAGTAAAAAACAATAAACTGAAATCTCAAAAAATTCAAATCCTTATTCTACAAATTTTCAAATTTCAAAAAAAAAAAAATTAGAGATATATATAGAGAAAAAGTTTCCAAAAAAAAAAAAAAAAAGAAGGTAATATGCACATAATACCTCTATACTATGAGATTAGTAGCATATATACTCCCGTTGGCATTTTTGGAAGAGTAAAAGGGCAAAACGAGTATTACAACACTAATTTATGTCAGATTTCTGATTGAGGGGTATTTTTGCACAATATGAAAAGATTATGAATATTTTTTGTACACTTTTTCAAATATGGAATAAAAGTGGTACGCATAATATATTTTAGTGGTATTTTTTGCACTTACCTTCTTTGTCTTTTCTTTTTTTTTTTTTTTTTAAAAAAAAAACCTTTAAAAAGTATTATTGGCGTATTCCAGTCATATCTAAAAAGTATCCTTGTGTATCCAAAAAAATTGAATACTTTTCCGGAGTATCGAACACGTGTACGGGCATATCCTAGACGTATCGGGACTATACATGTGTCCAATACTGCCACGGTGCCTTTGGGGAAGTATCCGAGCTTCCTAGGTACACAGTCCAATTTAGTTTTATTTTGAAATGAATCAGAATCAAATTGTTTCCAACAATTCCAGAAATATTACAACTGAATTAAACAATCAGAAATAGCGGAACCAAACTTTAGTGATTAGTTTGGTTTAGTTCGGTTTGATTCTACAATATTGATATTTTCTATGCATATACACACACTAATAAAATAAATAGTCAAAAATTGAATATATATATATATATATATATATATATATATATATTATTAACTGTACGGTGCGATTGGTATGAACCCTAATTGGAACCAAACCATAATCGACAGATTCTTTAATTTTTTAAATTAAAATTTAACCATTTTATTATAAAATCGGATAGTTTGATTCAATCTCATCCATCTTCATTTATCCATTTTAACAAATTTTTTTTTGTTCACCACCATTTATACATGCGTGACAAATTCTATAGACAGACCCTCATCCTTTTGCAAGTTGCAAGGGAACCCACACCTCCCTGTGGGATTGTGAGGGCAGCCTAAACTCCTACGCCATTGTTATGGCCATTGCCTAGAGACTAGAGTACATGTGATGATGTGAAATCTAAGGACAATGTAAAAGGACCACATTAGGTTTCTTTATTTTAGACTTTAAAAAAAAAAAAAATTATAATATAAATTTTAGTTAAATAAACAAAATAATATAAAATTTTGAGTTCTTTCTAAATTATATTCCCTCTATCCCGAAAAAAAAATATAGACCTTTTTATTTTTTTTGCTGTTCCAAAATAAATGTCTTATTTGAAAAGTCAAAATACTATTTTTGTAACATTAACAATTTAACATTCTTCAATTAAACATATACAAAAAAGTAAATTATCACACCTACATGGATCCACTATGGTTATTTTGGTAATTCACCCATTACCACTGCCAAAAAAAAAAAAAAAGCCCTAAATTATTGCACTTTTGCAAATAACTCCCTGAACTACAAATTGCCCTCCAAACTATTGATTTGTTGCAATTAAGGACAAAATCATTACAAAAGACTAGTTTACACTTTCTCGTTAGATTGTCATTTCTTGTAAATTATTTGTATTATCTTTTCTCTTCTCTAAATATTAATTATACTAATTACTTTAATTTTATTATTAGTATAAATTTATCATAAAAATTGAAAAAATATAAATAGATTAGTAACTACCATTTTCTAAAATATTAACTTATTATTAGAACTTTATTATTTCTAATAAAACAATACCTTCTTTTTTATACAATATATTCATGAAAGATTAATAAATTAATTAAATAAAAAATATCCATTCTCTTAAAAAATTAGATTCCTAAAAAGG